AGTCATCACAACGCCTCATAATCACCAGAGTCCCACAAGAAGGACCAATAGTATATTGTACTAGGCAAACTCTTTGGCACAGGTAGTGCCAGGGGAGTAGTTGGTTCCCCTTGTCCTCATCACAGTCTCATCTCCATGTTTACCTGTTCAATTGCAAGCTTGCACTGTTGCAGCCATGTCTTCTTTGCTGCTACTTTTGGACCTTTATTGACAAGAAGAAGCCTTGCTTGGTGCTGTGCCTTCCTCCTGTTTATCTTTGTCTGCTGCTTTGGGTGGAGGTAGACCCTGGGTTGAGTCTTCACTGAGTATGGGGAGCTATTGGCAAATTGGTAGACATCCTTCTTGTGTAGCTCTTCAACTAGGAGTATGGTGTTTTAGTTGCTTTTTGGTTGCTTGATTTTTGCAGTGTCTTCCATTTTAGTTGGGGTTGAGTGCCTCACAGGAGGTGTTCTTGATCTTGAGTGATTCCAAGAGAAGAAAATGCAATTGATGCATTATGTTAAAGCATTAAATGCATCTGCCACTTTTCTTTCTGATTGACTGGAGATAGTAGAACAAAAGAATCAAGGGGAGTCTTGCCAAAGTTTCAGTTGAAAATAAGCTTTGTCTAATTTTGTGTGCTTGAGGAAAAATAGGACAGGATTTTAAAAATCAAACTAGTAGTTGTTACACAACAAAAAGATTGCCCAAATTGATGCACAGTGTTTTCTGCCGCAGTAACAGTTTTAATTTTGAACTGTCGGATTGAGCTGTATCTTGGTGGCCACCAACTGGCTCTCAACAGAGATAAACACAACAATGTGATCCAAATAAAGACAGGACTCTAGTTGTGTAGGTGTTATAGGTGTTATAGGGGTTATTGATTATTAAAAGGTATACAGGGCTGAATATTGAAGGTAAAAAAGGTACAGTTGTTGGCGCATCTGGAAATTTTTTGCCCACACTATAAAATAGTATGATATTACAATCAGGAGTGTTACTTCTTCAAGTTGTTCTTCTTTGCTTTATTGTTATGGGCTAGTCTACCACAGAATAACTGTGACATGGAATCATACTCTGCTACTAGTAGTAGTACTACTAGTAGAAGTATGGGTATTTCTGGACAATGTACTAAATGAGCAGCAGCATCAATGCTGGGGGGAAAACTCAATATTATGTTTAACCTTCTTGTGATGAACTAGAAGCAGAAGCGACAATAGCAGCAGCCAAACCAGAACCACCATTCCTACTACAAGAAGTACTGCTTCCTGGGAGAAGAAGTATGCTTCTACTACTACTAGTATTAATACTAGTAGTAGTTGCTCTCCACGAAGGGGCAAGGGAGCACCATGGCCACTACTAGTAGTAAAGATGTAGTAACACTGGGGTGTGCTACTGATAGATTTAACTATTTGAAGAATTGCTGGTGGATCAGTTTGGTTTGACAGCAGGAGTTCTCAGAAGGGCAAAATTAGGCAGCCAGCACCAGCAATACTGGTGATCCACTTGTTCTTACTACCAGATATTCTTGTTGTTGACATTCTTACAAAATGCACGTGCTGCAAAATAGTTTCGCTCGCACGTGCACGATGTAGCCCTGGTACAAGTCAAATTTTAATCCCACGAGTGCAAAATAGTTTCGCTCGCACGTGCA